GTCATCTTGAAGAGCTTCCGGTGCTGTTCACAACCCTGCCTTTCCTAAGACCTTAGCCGCTCTAGTTTCTGAGCAACACGCCCGCGAAAATGGGGAAGTATTTTAGGGAAGAGCATTTCAAAGTCACCTTGGCATTCATAACGTCATAATGACGTCATAAATTGGGTCATTTCATAAACCATGCGACGGTCAAGGCCAAACAATAGTGTGTCGGAGCGTTCATATCTGGCGTTTGTGAGCACCACTTCCAGAAAAACGGCTGTCAATTGGCTCTCGATCAATGTTGTGCAAGGCGCAGTGATGTAATCAAACCACGACACATTGAGGAGCGTATTTACACAACGGGGGATTTTGCTGTCTAGAGGAGTCCTTTCCATTTAAGAGTATACCAATAATTATAAGCGAGCTTGTTTCGTCATACCTGATGCTTGCGTCAGGACCTTTAAATCTGAAAATTTCCCTTTAAGGGCGCACAACCTTGGGCGGGGAGACAGCCGTTCATGGTGCTTGATCGGTACTACCATCCAGTCCATTAACCGGCAGCCAGTTTCACCCCAGCTCTTTGAGTCACTGGATGTATGCGTTGATGCCAGGTGTGCCGTAGTCACCGCGCGTCTTTGAGTCACTGGATGCATTTGTTGATGCCAGGTGTGCCGAAGTCACCGCGTGTGTGTGTTGATGCCGGGTGTGCCGAACTCACCGCGTGTGTGTGTTGATGCCGGGTGTGCCGAACTCACCGCGTGTATGTGTTGATGCCGGGTGTGCCGAACTCACCGCGTGTATGTGTTGATGCCGGGTGTGCCGAACTCACCGCGTGTCGAGGCGCACGCTGAATTCCATCCTGATCGTAGCCTGACAAATTGGCTTAGCCAATCGGGACCCCCTCCCGAGGTATCACAAATTAAAAGAGTTGGAGACATCAAACTCACAGATTCGTTTGGCTTCTATGTGAACTCGTCATTTGCACATTTTAAGCCCCTGGGTCGTGACCTTCGGGTCAAATGTCTAACAGGTCAAACTATAAACTTGTTGGCTGCTACAGATGACCTGTTTAGCCTATTGCCGGCCAGCAACATTTTGAGACAAATCTAATGTGTTATACTAAAATATTCAGTGTTTATTGGTTTACAGGACATCAAGTTTGTTGTCGCTGCGACGCACCGTTCGCGATTTGTTCAGCCAACACTTTGGGCAGCGGGGTAGTCAAATTTACCGCCCCTTGAGGACATGGCATGAAACGTCCCAGCCATGCAGCTGCCTCAGACCCATGAGCCAGAACCAACGCGGGCAACCTAGCCGGTTGACAAGTCCAACCAGCGTTCTGCTGTGCATTGTCTGGTTGGCGCAGCATCAGCATCCAACGTCGCGCGCCACCATACGGCGACAGACTACCCGCCGCCTCAGGCCCCCTCAGGCTCCGACTCAGCACCAGACACGCGATGCAGGCTGCATGCCGATCGACGGCCTCAATGGACGTCACATTAGATTGTGGTAAACTTTTGCAAATAGCACGAGCTGTCATGTTCGCCTGGAGTAGCAGAACCTGTGGGCTTTACCAATAACGAGGGTCTGCGTCCCCACGAAAATCCTTGTTCATTCCAAAAGTAAGTGTGTGCCATCACCTTATCCCGTTGCTGTTGTACGGCTTGCTCGGTTTGTGATGACTGTATGGGTGCATGGATGTCGATCAGTTCTCGAGCAACATTCTGATACATTTTCCTCTGAAGTCGTGACTTGTTAAGCACCGTATGTGACCAGCGTGTACCGTGCTACCAAGCACCGCCCTGCATTATCGATATTAGACGGGAACTTCTCTGCTCACCGGGGCGGTACCCATGCGTCCGTTTGTTTTTGTTAGAAAAGGGAACGCGTCGCCCGTGGCCGTGAACTCGTTTAGGAAACTCAATGTTTATATCAACTCTATGGAGCCATGCGCAGGCGTGATACGAGCTCGGTCCTTTGAGCGGTGGTCAATAACCTTAAATGACTATTCCGTCTTTTTGTAATTTTCACTTATTGCGACACCAGACGCGGACAATTTCGTCAGCAGCAACATTTGAACTCAGAATTTTTATTTTTAGTGGTCCACCCTGCGGGAGAAATCTCATTTGACTCCCTGCTCACAGCTATGAAAGTAATGGGTTTAATTTCCCTTGCATTTTACAGCGTGTGTGTTCTATAATGTTTGCAGAATACTTAAGTGTCAAAATATGTATATGATAAATGCAACAAAAGATTGAAACGTTATGTTTGGATAAAAAGATGTGCGAGCAGGAAACTATTGTTCCGCAATTTTAACAAAATGTTATACATGGATTTCATTTCTCCCGTATGACGTTTACCGCGGTGGCTCTTTTCGACGCGCACTTGTTACAGTTACAGTTACAGAGCGTTGACAGTGTAAATTGAACTCAAAATAATCGAGATTAGCATCCTTTTTATGTGTTAACGGTGTTGCAGTTCCACTGTCCAGTGCTATTATTAGACATAACTGGCTCCGTGGTTTCACTAAAATCTATGTTTTGAAGTATGCCCAAAAGGTGGGAAAGTTACTTTAACCTCACAGAAAGCATTGCCGCCCGGAGCATGAGCCAAACAACTGGCTTTTGGCATTAGCCCAGCACGGTGATTAGAGGGAGAGAGGGGGGGGGGGGGGCGTTATGTATATACATGCACGCACCGCCCGACAAGTTAAAGACGAGCCCCTGTGTCTCCGTTCTCTGCAGCTACCGCCACTCGGGGACTTCCTCTGCTGCTAAGCCGGTGCGAACTGGAGCTCAACTGCTCCGATGGCCTCTGCAGCCCGGAAATGGTGACCGCCCAGCTGACGTCACAGGTAGGTCAGGTCCTGAGCAGAGGCTGTCCAGATGACGTCATCAGGGATCTGATACCGGGCGTGACTTCAGCTGGCGACACAGCGGTGATTCGCGAGGGCGAATGATTGTTCAGCTGGCGCCGCCGGTCGGTCTGAGACCCGTAACTGGACGGTGACGGCTCAGGTGGTCTCAGATGTTTGGCCAGAAACCGGGCACAGGCTGCAGACGTCACGATGGTGACGTCACGGGCGCAGGAAGAGGCAGAGAAATTGTCGGGCACCGATAAGAGGCAAACATTGTCCGTTGCTGGTGGTGCCGCTGACGTCACAGACGGATCTGACCCCGAAGGTTGGGGGGTGCGGGGTGCCGTCCTTCGGAACGGCCCACGTGTTTCGCCTCGGAGTGATATCGCCACGGGTCGGGAAAGTTAGCCGCTGATGCGCTGGGGAACTGCCGCTGACTGCTTCTAGGAATCCGTAGCACTGAAGTGAAGTCGTCAGCTGGAATTGAACACAATTCCTTGAACAATCGACAGCCTGTAGCAGCCCTCGTGATGAGTTCTTCGGAGTTGTCTTCACGTTTTAATGGCCGCCACCGTAAATGAGCGTCGTCGAAGGCAGCGTCGCTGCAATACATCTCCTGGAGTGTTCCAGGATGTGAGCAGTCCGCACCCTGCTGGTGCCGTCTCTCGAGCATGCACCGCCGCATGCGGATACTCAGGCCATAAACGCAACGGCATTCCCTGAGTCCCCATGGCACGAAACGCATCGAGACCTCACAGAGCTCGCTCGTCGATGACATTCAGCGCCATACAGAACACATATATACCTTCCTCGAACTGTGGTGGCCTCGCGATGATGACTAGCGCACCGCATCACGCACCTTTTGTAGACAGTTAATCACGGACGTTCAGGTCCACAGCTGGCATATCGCACAGAATTGACAGGCCTTTAGTCGTCGCAACAAATGCATCAAAACGAACGACACGCCGGAATGCCCCGCGTATTCTCCACTTTCCACAGCGTAGTCACAGTGGTGTCAGGTGGCATCCATGATGCATGCGGTGGACATTGGTCTTGGCGCAAATCATCCTCCTCTGGCGTCTTTTCCGCGTCCCGTGCAATAAAGCGCATTATACTGTGCCAGGTCCTCCAAGCCAGGTTTTCGCAGTGGGCTGAAGCCAAGTTTGGCCAAGACACAGCGTCTTCAATGGCGTGGTATGGATGTATTAGGTTTTTGAGACGGCAAAGGCAGTCGTCCGCAGATCAGCCCGTTCACTTTTCTTCTGTAGGTTGTGTAGGTTACAATAATGGGCTGTCCTGCGGCTTGTGCAGGCTTAACTCACACCAGCATTCGATGTAACCAGCCTAACCATTACCTTCCAAAGCTTGACTTTCCTTCAAAATTCTCCTTTTCTTTCTTTCACTTTCCTACCTCGGCGCCGGTGAGGCCTTGAATACCAAATCATCGCCAGACTTTCAGACGATCGAAAGCGTAATAAGCTATCGTCTATCACAGCAGCTACCTTAATTGGGAATCCCATACCCTGTCCTCAGTTGTCGGCATCTTGCCTTTTGCTGCACCTTTCCTGTTTCATTGGTTCAATACATGGTATCGCGCTTTTCACATTTGTGTGATGTCTTGCGCTCAATTATCTACGGTACGCAACGTTGAATAACAGGAAACGTGAATCGTCTGTACGCTCCTATGTGGGACTGATTTTCTCTGACGCGTACCGAGTTGGGCCGCTCGCTTACGTTTTCAAAGCGGTTCGGCCACTTTCAAAAGCCTGCTTCAAAAGAATCCCTTCCTCATAGCTTGTTAGTACGCTCTAAGTGCTCTTACTGAAAGCATTTTTGAAAGCAAATTGATTTTACGTCAGAAAATATCCCCGGATCAGCATTCCCTAGTGGAAGCTGGTCTATAATTGTCCTGCAGTCTGGCTGAGGCATCTGATCTAAGGCCTAAGCGGTGGCATTGATTGGGATAAAAACACAACCTGTGGGCATCACGTCACTTAAGTTGAGCTTCTTTGGCTTTCTCAAGCCGAGGCTGCTCAAGACAGAATTGTGCGTCAAATCCAAGTTAGCGCCGTCGGTGAGCGAGCACAACAGTTAATGAGCTAATGACTTCAGCGATGCCACCGCTTCTTTCCATTACTTCTAGGGACCGTCTATGCAGTCGTCTCGACCCAGCCTCATATATGTGAATATTGTTGACAACTTGGAAGTGGACCGCCTATGGACAGAGTATCAGCCGCCACCTGTTCAGCTTCAGGTACAACCCACTGGTTATTGCACGCTGTTGTATTTAACAGCAAGCAATACACGTTCAACAGTTATGTACATGTATTTTATGTGTGTGATGCGTGGTGGTGTTTGTTTCTGACAAGTGCATCACACTCTCATCACAGTGGAATGCATACGATGTGTTTTATTGCTCTGCCATCTGTCTATTGCAGTATATTGTCATTGGTATGTGTGTTGCGTTACAATGCATCATAGCGCCATCCGAGCAGAACCGGCCCACAACACCGCCCATCGCTGAATGCCGTTACGAACTTGGCATCAGAAACGACACCCGACGCGAGGGCCACGGAGAAAGCTGGACGAGGGGAGATCTACGACTTGCTCGAAGTTGAGACATTCCAGTTCTGGTCGTAGCCTAGGATGAATCGCCCGCAATGAATGGCCAAGCCCCACTTGGACGTTTTAGAGCCGCTATGTGCGGCTGTGGGCCCTCGTAAGCAACGGAAACTGAGGAACAGCTTAGCGACTTAAACGGTAATTGCCTGTACTTTTCGAGGATTATATTCCCTGCGGCCGTTAGGACATGGAATTGTATCTCTGGCGAAGGCGGCTGTATTCTGGCCGCTAAAACATGTGCTCAACATTTAAAAACCCAACACCAGCTTTGTTTGGGTTCAGTATTAGTCTGCGTCAACAAAACGGTAATGTGTTTAGCCACTACATAAGCCGTCACACCAACCTTTGAGGACTTTATATTGCCCTGCCCACTAAGCATAACTCACCTACATGACCATATTTAGATGTAATTACTTTAGTTTAACCAGATCTTTACCCAATGACCGGGCTGTAGGTCACATGACCCAGTTGATGACCGGCTGGCCGGCTGTTGTTCCTATCGACAGCTAGCGGACCGGAGGGTATCTTGACCGCCTGGATAGGCGCCTCTCTTGAGACAAGTGGCGGCCTCAGTTACCCGTCTAATTACCTGATGACCGCTGCTTGCCCGCCTGGCTGCCTTGCCAGCAATGATAATCTGACTGTCAGATTTGGTCCAGCTGTTGGGGGCGATTTATGAACTAGAGATGGACAAATAGACTATGAACTACAATATGGTGACAAGCCAGAGGGCCTGTAATCAGCCATGTGTTGATGGTTTCACTAACGAGAATCTCTGTGCACAGCTATCGGCGGTCGCTTCGATGTGCCACCTGGTCACAGCCAATCACATCATCGGATTCGACGGGACTCGACGGCAGCTGTCTGCTCCTGGAGTTCACCTGCTCTATGGTGACTTGTCAGAAGCCCTTCAGGTGGGAGGGCAGACACTCCTGTGCCCTGTGCTTGCCAGGAACTGTTCATAACCAAATAAGATGTGTCGGAAGTCTCAGTTAGGGAAAGGATTTGCCTAATGTGATCGTGACTCTAATCACGCTCAGCTCTGAATGCAGTTACGAACCTGACATCCGAGGTGCGCCAGATGCGAGCGTCGCAGAGACAGCTGCGAGAGGGGAAACCTACAACTTGTTCGAATTACAATTAAATAATGAACTAACGGTCATCCAGTAGCTGTAAACGACGTTCAGTATACCATGAGATGCTGATGAACAGACGAGATGTGGACTAGGTCCTCGCAAGGAAAGGGCTCAATTTGTACCATCGACCTCCTACTTCCGTTACCTAGACTTCCTCTTTTATTATTCGCATGATATGATGGTATCGTTATATAATCATCACCACATTATCTTCTACCGTTTACTCTGGTCATGGCGATTGCGTGTCTATCGTGACACTATTGGTTTTACTGTGTATTGCCCTAATTTATGTAATAGCCAACGCATAAGGACATCCTGTGGTACTCGCCCTCTGCTGGGTGAGAGGCAGGCGACGCCATGTGGTCTCAGTTTCGGAGTGCTCCGTAAACTCCCAGTGACATAAGTCGCAGTTTCCTAATTGCATGCAACTTTTAAAAGGCTTTATACATAATGCACTGCAACAGCAAATAAATCTGTGAGAACTAACGGATCACGCTGCCATAAAAACGCTAGTCTGATTTGGGAGTTGATGCAACACTCCCTAAGGTTTTTTGGGGATGCCTCTGCGGCATGTCGTATAAACAGACCCAAATGCTCGGTTCACTATGGGCATTCATGCGCGTTTTTTACACAACAAGAGCATGGTCCCAGAATTTTTTGGTTTCTGAGCACAGCGACGATTCTTATGAACACTAAGCGAAGATCAACGGCCGGCGTTGGCGGCGGTGAAAGCCGGCGATTCCACGAACCGTGCGTGTTGAGCCGGTGCTGTCGCGGTAACAGAGCCATAGACAAGGGCGAAGCTTCGCAAAACGAAACGGGGAGGGCGGGGGGAGGGGGGTAAACAATGTTCCGACCCTCCCCGAAATGTGCCAACAAAAAAGGCTTCTCCCCGGAGTTTTACTTCTCTCATCCCAAGAAGCAGACCTGTTTAGATTTTACGGTGCTACGAGGCATGTTCTCATGTAGACAAACCTGTGTATCTGAAAAGCGAGATATTCTGGTAACTTTGACCTTTGACCTGCCATATGGGTTTATTTATTGACTTCAGGGGGAGAGGTCGCAACGACCCCCGTCAGGTGGCATTACGCGAAACGGCGAATCATGTCAAGGTTAAAACTTTTGGTGTTTAATGACAGGTTAGAATGTAAGCTTGAAATACTCGGCGTTTTAGTGTGCATGTCCAATTTTTCATGTTATTGACCACATGTGAACAAAACGCCTCGATTTGACGCCTTTTGCAACGCGGTTCACTTCAACTGATCCCATTCATTTAACGTCTTCCAGACTTATCATTCCCTGATACCGGCTGTCGCGCAGTTTTAGATCCCCCTCCGTCTCCGCGTACGGGGCACCGCGCCGCACCGCGTCATGACCCCGGCCATGTCTGACAGGTGACGGTGCGCTCCGGGCCGTGTGACCTGACCTCGGGTCAGTTCTGCTCGTGCGCCCTGCTGGCACGGGACGCGACCGGCACGGTCACGCTGGACGGGTGCCGAGCCGGCCGGCGGCCCCAACTGCGGGTCTTCCCACGGGGCCCGGCCGGCGCCGCCGCCCTCCCTCTGCAGACCCCCTCCCACGCCGCCTGGCTGGTGAGAGCGGAGCGCGTGTCCGGGACAGATCCCGGCGCTCTTGTTTTTCGGCACCTGTGTCCTGAAACACGAGCATTGTCTAACAATGTTTTTAGTTTTGCAATCACACTTGGCTGGGTGTGAAAGCCCCATGGCATAGCGGACACGCAAGTTCTTGATTTTTTTCAGGACCTTTATGATGATGTTCTTCTAGTGCAGATGCGGCGCACGTGCTGATGCAAGATGCTAGCGCACGCCACGTGCCTGTCCTGAAAGGCTTCGGCGGAGGAAAGAAATATGCGTTGCGTGAATAGTTGGCCCCTGCGCAAAGAAAGTGTCAGCTTGAGAAGCTGCTTATAATGCTGAGGTCGAGGCCTGCGGCACAACTATACATGTTACACAACTAAAATCACGCTGTGACCCCGCACCCAAAGATGGCTACGGAACTCAAACCACAGTAAAATGGCGTCTGTCTTTGATAGAATCTAATTTTGTCCATCTTCTTTTTTCATTTAAGACGGCGCAGGCCATTTCGCGTCGACTAATCTGAATTCACCCAGAGATAGAAATAAAAATAGAAATAGAAACAGAAAATGGGCGAAACGGCAAAGAATACCATAGAAGCGTCAAACAAATACCGTCTCGTCAATGGGCCATATGGTGCCTCGACGTCAAGAAAATAGGACCAGTGACTCCTCGTGCTTGGAAAACCTCAGCACGAATTGTCGCATCAGCGGACATCAGTTGGCTTTCAATCAGCTTTACGTGTTAATGGGAGTGCTTCACATTTGTATGGGGGTTTGGATTGATATAGTTATTTTTACAAATTATTCAGGCAGCTCACGATCCTGCCCTTTTGAAGACTAAAAATTCTC